CTGAAGGGTCCTGGTTTGGATGCCAGTCAAGGGCACATGCCGAGGTTTCGGGCTTGATCCTTCCACAAAATACCGACTTTTGTGCATGGGCCACGAAGTTTCAATCGCACTGTACGTGCGCGCCCGCACGTGGTATTATGTGGAAGAGCCACACTCAAGGGGCCAAAGAGCCACATGTGGCTCGCAAGCTGCAGTTTGCCGACCTCTGGATCATTTACACATTCAGTGACCTTTGTCCACTTTTACTTGTTACAGCACTTTCATGGTAAGTCATTAGCATGTTAATATAGTTAAGTTTAATCTTCAATGAGAAGAACCAATGCTTTCTCTCCTGTTTAGTATTATTAAGAAATACATATTCCTTTTTAAAAATATATTCTTTTATTGATTTCAGAGAGGAAGGGAGAGGGAGAGAGAGATAGAAACATCAGTGATGAGAGAGAATCATTGATTGGCTGCCTCCTGCACGCCCCCTACTGGGGGATTGAGCCTGCAACCTGGGCATGTACCCTGACCAGGAATCGAACAGTGACCTCCTGGTTTATAGTTCGACGCTCAACCACTGAGCCATGCCATCTGGGCAAGAAATACATATTTCTATGTATAATACTAGGTATCAATAATCTATTGCCTTAACAATTTAATAGTATGAGAAGTTAGACATAAGGGGAAAGGAAACATATGTCCCTTTGTGTGCTCTTTATTTTTAATTTAACATTTTTATTGTAAGTATTACATATGTCTCCTTTTCCTCCATTGACCTCTCCCCGGCCACTCCCATCCCCCAGCACATGCGCTCACCCTCCCACTGTCTGTGTCTACTGGTTATGCTTAAGTGCATGCATACAAGTCCTTTGGTTGATCTTTCACCCTCCCCGCTTCCACCCTCCCCTGCCTACCCTCTGAGGTTTGACGGTCTGTTTGATGCTTCTACATCTCTGGATCTGTTTTTGTTTATCAGTTTATGTTGTTCTGTGTGCTCTCTATCTAAAATGTTACAGACCCTAAAAATCGCTGAATTTATACTGGAACTAGCATGAACTACTAACTGTTACACTTGAGTACACACCTCAAGTAAAGATTAGAAAGTACCAAAAAATTGGGAGTCAGGAGTGTGTCTTCAAGAAAGAGGTTTGAGGGTTTAGGTGAAGGTTTCTATGACAGGGATGACCGGGAGCGTTGTTTTTCCTTTTCAGGTAATGATTTCCAACTCTCCAAGCTGACTCATCTGTTTGAGGAGTGTTGTTTTGAACATGGGAAATTACATAATTAACTATCATTTGTCTAATTGACTTATGAATGGTATATGATGGGAAGGATACATAAACAGGGAGCAGTGACCAATAATTAGCCCAAATCAAGGTGTAGGTCTTTTTTGTTAAGCTGTTACTATTGGTTAACTTCTTACCTGCAGGTACCAGTTGAATTAAGAGAAGTACGCCTCCTCCAAAGAACAGCACCCCAGCTATGATATACCGCCTGGGCAGGGTTCGCAGGAGCAGCCAGGCTGTAATGTAAGCTGGAACTTCGATCAGGGCAGAGAGGAAACAGTTCAGGTAGGCATCTCCATGTAAATTGGGAGAGTTGAGAGATAGAGCGAAGTAACCGACTGAGGTTAGCATCCTAAAAGACAACAGACACAACAAAAGTGATAAAAGGATGGTATGAATCACTCTAAACTTTCATAATGGTCAAGAAATTGTCTAGATTCTGTTTTCCTGTATGTAGCCACTAACTACATATGGCTATTTAAAAGTAAATATATTAAAATTAAATAAAATCAGCCCTGACCAGTTTGGTTCAGTGGATAGAGCATCGGACCACAGACTGAAGGGTCTCAGGTTCGATTCCGGTCAAGGGCACATACCTTGGTTGCAGGCTAGATTCTCAGCCCCGGTCAGGGTGCATGCAGGAGGTAATCTATTGATGTGTCTCTCTCACATCAATGCTTCTCTCTCTCTGTCTCTCCACTCTCTCTAAAAATCAATGGAGGAATATCTTCGGGTAAGGATTAACAACAACAATAAAAAAATTTAAAAGAAAAAAAAATCAAAGAATCAGTTCCTCCATCGCACTAGCCATACTTCAGTTGCTTAATAGCCACATGTGGCTAGTGGCTACTATAGTGGACAACACAGATAAAACCATTTTCATCACTGCAAAAAGTTCTATTGGACAGCACAAGTCTAGATATACCAGTACACAAAAACACCTATCCTGGTCTAGTTAATTTTATATTTCAATATTTCCTGAACAGTTTGTACATCTTCATTCCCTTAGAGCTATTATTTAAAGAAAGAATGTATGTCAGTCATGTCAGTGAACATAAAATCCAGACTTCATTCTTACCAAAAAACAAGAAGGAAAAT